TTAAAAAACCACTTTTACTCCTACTTTTTCATACCCTACCTATCACATCATACTTTTTCACTAACAACTAAACTATCACATTTTACTTTTACCCATCACATCAAGGGCAAAATTGGAAAGTCAACTACAATTTAACACTTCCTTATTTTCTCCCAAAGTCAAAAGAGGAACCGTTTTGAGAAACGGAGGGAGTATATTGCTATAAAGAAACCAATTTCATGGTCCTCGTTATCGACTCGGTAGTTACTTTAAAGAAGATAAATTGAAGAGATATAAATTTTTATATTCCTGTTGCTGACCTTTGATTTTTAACAATTGATTTTTCACGGTCTACCATCAATGTCGTTATTAGAATAATATTTTCGTAGTTATTAGGAAGATTCATGAAACTTTAGGTGAATTATTAAATTTACCACAAAAAATTCCTACACAAAATGGAAACACAGTTAAAAAATATGGCTATATATTGACACTATTACAATTGCAGTATCTTACAAGATCTTGAGGAGTGATTTTTGTACTACTCAAGCAAATGTAAAAGCTCAAATATTTTTATTAAATGTTCTGAAAATCAGACCGGACGTCGACCCGAACGAGATAGTGGGTCTAGGGTTGATCCGTCGAATCGGTCGAACCAGGGGTCAACTATGATTATTATTATAATATATTAGATATTTTTAGTCAATACAAAATATTTTAGTTTATGTTATTAGTTCTCCATCTATTTTTTAATATCATGTACGTATGCTATTCACACCTTCTAATTTTATTCTATTATTTTTATTATTATTAAAAATTAATATTGAATGTCTAACATTTAAATAATAAGGCAATACTCATATTTTCAAAAAGCAAAGACTGGATATTTTGTTTTTATATACAAATGACATTTTAAAGTTTATATTTAGTTGATTAAAATGGTAGAAAAATAAAAAATACTCCGTAGCATATTAGATTGTAATTAATAAATATTACTTGATTTTTAAAGATAACAATTTTTTAAATATAAAATATACAGAGTATATTTATTTTCAAATAAAAATTAAGTAATTCTCAATTTTTTGAAACTATTTTAAAAGTTCATAAAATACAAAATCACACAAGCAAAAATAACTAAGGGCTTATTTTGTAAGAACCTTTTGTAAAACCATAAATATATAAAATTGATACCTAGGTTCTAAATAAAAGTTGATTAGCTCGCTTGGCCTATGGTTGGCACTAATGTGCCGTTAGTTTTGGGTTCAAATCCCAGCTATGTTGTCATTTTTTATATACTAAAATTCAATTAAATGTAGATTTAAACTCAAACCCGTGAACCGGACGTCTAGTGGGTTTGGGCGAATCAAATGGGAGGCAGGTTTCCTCAGTGAATTGGATCGGATAAGCTGCCCGGTTGGACCGGCCGATTCGATCCTGTTTTCAAAACACTGGTCTTAATGACACCTATTTTGTATGTCATATTATATTATGACACTTGTAGTAGGTCATTATGAAGATTCAAAATATTGATGATTCTTAGTCTGATTAATTACCAAAATAGGACTTCTATTATTTATTCTCGAAATAGAACTTAAAATGTATTTACATTACCAAACATGGTCATGCACATTACCAAAAAGTATAGTAATGCACATGTACAGTGCCACATTACAAACACATTACCACAGTGCGAAATCCTATTTTGAAAAAAATATGAAACTATTATTTTGGTACTTTTCTCTAGATTTTAGTCCTATTTAGGGTGATTTCTAATAAATCTATTTGTATTCTCAAGATTTTATCTCAAAGATTTACACTTACATTTTATGTCAATGTAAGTATGAAATTGATGGCTTCTATTCACATAAAATATTAGTACAAATTTTGCAATAGAACAAATATTTTATATCAATACATACCATCAAAATTATCGAAATAATATTTGAGATGCATCTAACATATTTGTTGCAACTTGCAAATACTCCACATGCTTTTGTTTAGTGGCTTCTTGGCATATTGTGAGTTTCATCACCCGAAAACCCGGAAAAAGAAAGTGTAAAAAGAGCACTAGCTCGTTTAACTTTGGTGTATCCCTAACATCTCCGGGTAACAAAAATGCTAGGGATACACCATTACATAAAGGTGTACCTCATTTGTCCTCCACTCCCTACATAACCACTCAAATAGGCAAGAAAATTAAAAAAATAAATACATAAAAATTAAATACAAATAAGTAGTTGTGGAGGGAATGGGGGATAAATGGGGTACACCTTTGTTGTACCCAGCATCTCCCAAACTTTAAAGCCACAATGTTGAAAACCAAAGGAACCAAATGACTATTGTCATTAGCTTAGGATCCTTCCTAAAGTGTTAGGACGTACGGAGTACTCCCTAATAAAAAGTGGGTCCATAGTTGTATCTTATAGGTGGTCCGAAGGGTGTGCATAGTGCCAACCGTATATTATCCCTAAAATTTTAGAGTCTCTTATTTTTAAGTTTGGCATTAATTTTAAAGCATAAGTATTCTAAAAAAAGAGTCCAAAACCCTGTTGCATCTGATACCTACAAATGTACATTTTTCAGAAATCGAACTCAATATTACTCCCTGAACACACCTTGCTCCATACTTTGTATTAAGAGATGATGTATCTATATTATTTTTAAGGGTTATATTCTCTTGACGTTAATAATATGAGATCAGTTCAATTAGGATACCTATGATGCTTTGTTCCTATCCCCCTAAATCCCCAGCAAACCTCCCTAATCTGGGCGTTCCTAACACACTTCAACATCCATTCAATTGCATTCCCTGAATTTTGTTGATTTTGGTGTCAATTCTTTTAATTCCATAGACATCAAAATTTAGAGGAAGCAATTGGAGGAGTGGGTTAGGTACGGATCGAAGTAGGGAGGTGTATCAATAATGTGCTTACAAATGAGAATTAAGTTCTAACGTCAAAAGAATCTTGATGCATTTTAATGCTATTAAAAATGTTGTCAAATATTTAACGTGGAAAGAATAATAATAAAAAAAGATATGGTATATCCAATTTTAACAAAAAAGAAAATTGATAGAAAAATATATCAAAAGTTATACATAAAAGATAGTATGCATATGATATTTGATAGCATTATTCATAAAAATATTTAAACTAATAAGATGTACTTCATAGTTCATACTAATTCTACCATGTTAGTACCAAGGATATCCCTTTCTCCCTCCCTCTCAAAAAAACTTTACTTTTTTCATTTTTGACCTGGTAAATTTAAAAAAATTTAACTTTTTTTAAACAAGAAAATGAGTGATTTTCTTAATCATAAATTTTTAATCGTTAACTCACAACTAATCTCTTTCTACTCTAAATATGTTCTAATCATAAATTTTTTTAGTTTTCAACTTTTTCCTAAACTCCTTAAAAATAAAATAAAAATTTTTTTTAAGGTATATACGAATGCGGAGAGTATCATTTAGAGACCTAGTGATTAGAAGAACTAAGGAAGAACCATATTATTTATAGTTCAATTATTTTCACTCATTTTTAGCGTCATATTTCGACACTTGTCCAAAATAAAGTCACTACGGTGTTGATAGTTCCTAACATCTTACATTCATCCTCTCGTTCCACAGTTTCCAATCGACTGAAGGGGAATTATACGTAAGGTTTAAGAAAGAAATTATGGGGAAAGATTTTCAATTTTTTACCCAAATTGTTGTAGAAGCTTCAATTTAATCGAATGTCATAATATTGCAATCCATTTTGAAATGTTTAAGAAAAGGAATTATGGCGAAAAATTTTCAATTTTCTACACAAAGTATTATCGAGGCTTCAATTTAATTGAATGTAATTACCAGTAATATTACACTCCATTTTGATGTCAATATAACAAAATACAGTATACTTTTTCTATTTTAGAGTATTCGTTCAGCTAGATTTTTCTTACCCTCATAATAATGAGGGATAATTATTGTTAGGGGAGAGCAGATAAATAGAGGACAAAAGGAGGAGGATGGGCCCAAAAGAGTAAAGGCTGCACAAGAGAAATGAGTGGAATTGGCACTGCATCAAACAGTAGCATGTAGCAGTAGAGCCCTGCTTTTTTTTCTCCCTATGCATTTCCTCTTTTTAGCATCAAACACCTACTACTTACTAGTTTGCACTATTGGTTTGGTTTACCAATTTTTTTTAAAGTTTGGTTTACCATCCAAAGATTAGATTAAGTTCACTTTGTTGTTGTAATCTGGAAGTTGTAAATGGTCTCTCAGTAAGAAATTCCAAAAATTCCTCTATTTCCCAATAAAGTCAGTCAATTACAAATTCATAGAAATATATTTTTATTGTAAAATGAAATTCAAAGTTGTAAATTTTATAAATGACATCTTATTTTTTTTATAAAAAAAAATTTAGATGATAGGGTCCATATGGTTGGTTCATAAACAGCCTTCTCCATCTGCAAAAAGCCCACATTTTTTTGGCCTTTATGACCAATTAAGATCCTCTAATAACAAAAGTCCTTTGGTTTCTTTCATCCCTTCTCATGGTCCCTCTTAGATCTTGTGGTTAATGACTCAAAAGAGTATTAATGAACCTTTGGTGGGGTGTGTGTGGGGGTGGGGGTGGCTAGTGCTGGGTGTGTGCTGCTACTAGATCATGATTCTTGATTCTTCATAAGTCTCTGAAAGGTTCTGAATTTTTGCTCAGATTCTTGGTTTATGGGACCTGCACAAAATCTCTCCTTTTTCTTCCTCATGCAAGAAAACACCTTTTCTTTTTCATTTGTATTTAGTTTTTCCTACTTTTTCTTTTGTTTTTACATTGTTCTTTCCCTTTCTTTTTGAAGTAGGATAATAAATGTTAAAAGAGGAGGGCCTTTTGGTTTGCAGTCTATTTATGGAAGAAAGGGGAACCAATGATTTGTTTTGGTTCCACTGCATTTTCTGCTTTTGGCTTCCCTCAGGAACCTCACTATACAATATACATACAGCTGATATATATATATATCTATATTTGTATATCTCATCAAGAAACCAAGAAACACTTCCACATTTCCTCCCCACAATGGGTAAAATCCCATAAATCTGCTTGCAAAGAAGAAGAAAAAAAGGGCTAAGGTTTGATTTATCCCTTAACTCAATTGCTATTCTTAAGTACACTTCAAATGCACTATGAATAGATGCAATTATCTTTCATAATTGTTCTTGGAATTACCCATAGTTTGGAGTAATAAAAACTTCTAAATGAAAAAGAAATCTTGGTGAAAAGTGTTTAGTTTGATTCTTGTTCATATAAAATCTCACATATAAGTTCAAAAGACTAATCTTTTGGTACTAAATCTCACAATTCTAAATGTTCATTATCATTATTATTTTTGAGATGTTTTGTTAGTTAATGAATTAATTAGCAGACATGGTAGACCACAATCCTATGGTTGGAGATGAGTATTTGCTGCCCATGAACTCCTTATGCCCTGTTTGGATTGACCAGAGAGGGCAAAACCAGAGCATGGACGAACTTGGAATTTCACTCCCTTCTGTGCTGCTATCTGAAGGAAATCCCACCAGACCTCTTCTCAGTTTTAAAGATTTCTCACCAGGAAATTCCCATCCTGCCCCTGGGAATGTTCAAACGCAGAATGATTTCCCGGCCGCCGGTTTCCCATATCCCGACGATCTCGACTCTGGTTTCCCGGTTGATGTTGCCAGAAAATGGGATTTTTTTCCGTATTCCGATGACCAAACACGCCCTCCTTCGAGATTCGCATATTCGCCGCCGCCGGCAGAAAATTCGCATGGGTCATCGAGATATCTGGGGGCGGTTCAAGAAATGCTGTCTGAGATTGCCAGATATTCGCTAGAGAATGTCAACTCGATGTGCTTCGACCCCACCAGTTATAGCGACGAAATAGGCGGCGCCGGCGCCGGCTCAGCCGTAGGCTTCCCCGACCACTTTGGCGGAGGGGCCCACGGAGGAATACCTCGGGTCGATGCGGAAACTAAGCGGAAACATCTCCTGGCCCTCTTACAAGCGGTATGATGGCCTCAACTCTCAATTAGTACTCCTAATCACTTGTCTAATCAATTTTTTGATTTGTTGTGCCATAAGGCGTGCGTGCGTATACATAAACCGATAATAATTGCATGTGAAGACAGAAGATTTTTGTTTGTATATGTATAATTCTTCCGTGATTGACACCCGTAATGAGCTTTTAACATGATCTTTTTTTTCTCTTTAAGGGTCCGGTTTATATAAAGAATTGATAGTTGAAATTATATGGAACTGAGTTGTATGGGATTGAATTCTCCAATTTTAATTCATTTTTGGTACTAACAATTCCAAATCTACATATTTTTATACTACCAAATACCAAAATTTAATTTATTGCCCCAATTCCAATTTTATAATTTGAATTTCGTGTACCAAACAAAGTGGAAGAGATTTTAATTTGGTTGAGATGTGCAGGTAGATGATAGGTACAACCAATGCATGGAGGAATTGCACATGGTGGTCTATGCATTCCATGCTGCAACTGACTTGCCCCACACCATAGCCTCTGCTCCTTCAACTACTCTACACCCCCACCTGGCTCTCCGGACTGTCACCCTCTGGTACAAAAACCTGAGGGACAGAATCGGAACTTCCATTCTCGCAATGGGCAGCCACGGAGGGGCGTCAGAGGAGAAGTTTCTAGAAGCGTCGTCTTCTGCCTCTGTGCTGCAGAGGCAATGGACGACGCTTCAGCAACAACAACAGAGGAAGAAGGATCATTATCTTCATCATCATCAACAACTATGGAGACCCCAGCGGGGATTGCCCGAAAGATCCGTTGCCGTTTTGAGGGCTTGGATGTTTCAGAACTTCCTTCACCCGTGAGCGCTCTTTTCCCCCCTTTGGTCCATTTTACCCCTTCGTGTTATTAGTGGGCCCGTCCCGGGGATGTGTATCGGCACAGGTCCACTAATTTGTAGGACCCAAAGTAGGGCTTAAAACATGTTTTCGCATAGTGTTTTTAAATTTTTTTGCCAACATTTATTACTGTGATTTGTTTTAGATACCCAAAGGACACTGAGAAGCACTTGCTTGCTGTAAAGAGTGGACTAACAAGGAGTCAGGTATGTCCAGTTACATTAACTAAATTTTAAAAGTAGGTATGGAACCGGACCGGTTTAGGAATGGATGGTTGGTTTTATCTTTGGTGGTGAAACCGTATCGGAACCAGGTAGGGAGTCCGTTTCGGTTTGGTTCCCTTTTTTTATTATTATAATCAGAAATTGTTTCAATCAAACGGTAAGGATTGTATGAATTTATGCATAAAACTTATTGTAATTTAAACTCTTTCGGAGGATTAATTATCGCAAAACAGGTATCGAATTGGTTCATAAATGCGCGGGTTCGGCTGTGGAAGCCAATGATTGAGGAAATGTACGCGGAGATGAACCGGAGGAATCGCCATCAAAATGCAGCAGAGCAAATCAATGGTTTTAGAAACCAAATATGTTTGAATGAATGAGCTGTGAGGGAAAATGAATGAAAATAAGAAGAAAGAAGAATGATAACATATTCATTTATTAGAATTGTGGTTCATCAGCCATCTATGTATGTAAATGTATTTATTATTGCTGGATTGTTATTATTTATGGTCGTGTATATAGCAGTAAGTATGTGTCATATAATGAAGAGAACATTTGACCAATATGGTTTTTTTTTTACAACTATAGGACACTGGTCTTTGGGATGGACTTAATTATAGAATTAACGGTTTAGGTGTGCTTGTTGCGTGGCTTCAAGGTGATCTAATAAATTTTGGTGTTTGGAGTATGATTTTGTAATTCATACCCTAGTAATTTAGCTGCGTCTGCAGCACACATCTATTTTCTTATACATAAAAAAAAAGAAGTGATAAAATTATTTTCAGTTAATGAAAAAAAAGTGAAATTTACTTGGTGACAAAAAAGTAAATTTGTTGTTGTTAGAAGGTCTTTGCTACTGTGTTTGAAAATACTATTTGAATTTCTACTTCATTGAAACACATTTTTAAGTGTTTTTTAATCAGTTTTAAATTATGGATTGTGATTTCAGAAATGTAAACTATACTCTAGGAGTGATTTTGAACTAAACTCAGAGGGTGTTTGACAGTGCGCTGCTTTTAATATTTTAGCTTCTGTTTTGAGTGGAAGTGATTTTATTCTGTTTGACATGTAAACTTCTGCTTTTCACCACCACTATTTTATACACAGAACACCGTTTTGGAGAAGCAGGTATGAGGTGCTTTTCCTTTCAGCTTTTCTAGAAATCACTTTATCCAGAAGTTAATCACTCTCAAACAAGCTCCTCAGAGTAACTACTTTCTACTTCTGATTTAGTACATCTGTTTTTTCAAGACTCATTGGCAACTGCAAACACCCACTTACTTAAATTTGGAGATCACACATGGATCCTGATGAACTAATATTACCTTTACGAGTCATATATGATCAATTTTAATTATTTATTAAATTTGTTTTTCATTGCCTATTAAACCAATATTTTTTTTAAAAAAATTGTATAGTCCATATAATATAAATCTAACAAACGTATCGAGTCAGACAGACACTACTCGGGGCAAACACGTTTGTTAGATTTATATTATATGGAGTATACTACAATTGTATACTCCATATAATATAAATCTAACAATCTAAAATTGTACAGACAGACACTACTCGGGGCAAACACGTACACTAAAACAAATGTATCGAGTCCCGTGAATGTCTTAGCGGCTTTTCTATATTCATATACATACTTGCAGGTATAGACGTTTACATTCGACATTGGTATTTGGAGATGAAAGGCTGATGAGGAGGCGGATCTCGAACATGACCACTTCACATCTTGTCGCGCGACCATTTCATAAAATGTCTTCAAATGCTTGCGGATGAGGGGATGTCGATCAACATTTTGTTTTTAAGATTCATGATTGAATCTGCAATGACCCTAGCATTGGACTTCATGTACCCACCTGAAACATTTATGATAATGATCAGAATAATGGTTTCGAGACGGAGAACTACAAAGTTACCCTCAAGTGCTGAACTTATCAAACCTGAAGTGAGCATCAGAATGGGCGCTCCCATCTTACGAGCAAATCGAAAGACCTTTTCGTCCCTCTCAACGACTCCTTTGGGAGTGACCTGCTTCACATTTAATGTTGGTACTTTAGGGTATGTATGTGTATGTGTGTGTGTGTATCAGTAGCAAGAACAAGAAATAAAATCGTTGTTTTCCCACGTTCAGTCCAACGGTGGTCATAGCTTATAGTGTAGTAATTTTCATTGAAGCAATAGTTGAGTGTTTGAGAAGGTAATTTACCTTCAAATATCCAAGAGGATCTCCTTCCAATATATCGGTGCCAGCATTGTACACAATTAAGTCGGGGTTGATTTCACGTTTAGCAACCTAAAAAATTGTGCATAATGAATGATTCCCGAGAGTTTCTTCATTAAAAAATGCTATGAAAGAACCAAGTAAAACTGATACATACCTCAAGTGCTTCATCTAGTTTAGTCAAGTAGGCATCTGTTTCCGTCCTGCTCTGTGAAAATTGACATTGAAACTTAAAAGTTAAAACTAATATAGAAACACACTCATCAACCCATCTTTAAGGAATGGGAAACAAATTAACTCTCACCTTAACTTCAACCTTATGATCAATGTATCTCTTGGCTTCCAAATCCTTAAAGATAATGGTTACAACTTTGAAAAAATATTTTGGAAAAGTGACACTAAGTTTGGAAACATCAGGAGGCAACTCACATGTGGATAAATGTCAGGATTATACATGTCAAGAACATAGACCCTTCCTGCCAGTATTAAGGTATGGATCAATCAACCAAAAAAAAAAACTACACAATGGCCAAGGTTCAAAGAATAAAAGCGAAAGAATCATACTGTCGTTTGCAAAATCAATTTCATGACCATTTCCTTGATGCGCATCCAGATCAATAATCATCACTCTGGAGATGTAGATTAAAAAATATGTGAATCTTAATGCAAAATAAACTGATTGCTTGAACGGGTTATATACCTAATTTGTGGCACTACCTTGATATATTTAAAGCGACAAAGGCAAACTGAATACAAATAGAGATGTCTGCATAGGCACAAAAACCACCTCCCTTCTGTGCAGAGCAATGATGAAACCCACCACCCACGTTGATAGCCCATCCCCGTTCTTTGGCAAGCTTGGCCGACAACACGGTTCCTCCTACCTATTCCAAACTGCCTAGTGAGTACGCAGAACCACAGTTTTTTAGAAAAACGGAGGCAGCAAAATTCAGTCAACCTGCTTGCGAAAAGGCTGAAGAACTTTCTTCTGTACAAGAAAATTAGGCAGAACTGCAACAGGTGGAACCTATAAAGTATTACAGCCATTCAGATATTTAAAACTTCACAACAAGGCTCCTCTTCATTTCGGCTGTGTAAAAAATAAGCTTTTATTTTCAAAATCTAACCTCAACAATCATAGAAACGTTGACGCTGCTCTTTAAACTATCCAAGTATGACTCTGAATGTACCTACCACCAAAATCAAAATATGTTTTTTGACATACAACTAGAAGTTAATGGGACATGAAGGATGCACAGTGTGTGCAAGAATTAAAACAAGGACAAGAATCTACACTTTCCATTCATTTCCACATCGGAAAAAAGTGAAGAACATTTTCCTTGTTTCATCAATGTGTCAGCTCAAGATCCAATTGGGCCCACCAACCATGGAGAATAATACTCCATGGAGCTGAGCATAAAGTTCAGCATCAAGCTCTAGAATCTTACAGCTTATAGGCTAAACACTCCAACATTTGTGCATAAACTGTATATGGATTATATATCCTTCCTGAACACCTAGAATTGAATCCACTATTTGTGACCATCCAAATTGGTACTCCTACCATAGAACTTTTTAGTGGGCAGATATGTATTTTCCGGTTCTCGGGTTTTTTTCTGAGCCCTAATGCACCCACTAAAGAACAAACAGTGCCAATATACTTCAGGAACAAGAATTTATTCAGTTCATACAATGTACTAAAGATATGAAAATATCATAAAACAGAAATAGGAATGCCCATGGAATGGGAAAGATTAAATACTCCGGTAACAAATATGATTCAGAACTCAGAAGTACCACTAGGAGATCATCTCTGGTGGGTTCTAGAGGTTCAACAATTTGATTCTTCTCCAGGATTTTATCTGCATTTAGGAATTGGCAGATGTGACCCCATTTTGAAGAATCAAAAGGGTGTCTGCATCAATTAACAAAAAAAAAAGAATTGAAGTGAACAGACATACATGTGCGCATTTCAAAATTCAGGAAAAAAGAATCAGACTATAATAGAGTCCTTACAGCTTTTCAATGCCAAGAAAGGAGATGTCATACGAAGATGAGTAGATAATCGGAGCCTGATTCACCCAATTACAGTTTCAATTCAACTGAAGAAGCTCAGATACAGGCGCAGCAAATTTATAGTCGCAAATACAAGGAGTAATTAAGAGAGCAGTGTTACCTTAGACGGAGGCACATCGAGATAGAGCTTGCTAGATAGGATTCTACTTCGACGGACGGCTTCGAATTCGTCGGCGTTTTTGGGCGTCGGAATCGCTGAAGAAACGCCGCTGGCGGACGATGAAGACATCGCCGACCACCGGCTATAGGAAAAGAGAACGAAACGGTTGCGGATTACGGGACGGTCGAGGGAAGAACGGAGTTTAAAGGCGATGATCGGCGGGGAGAATATGGCCGGAGTGAGCCGGAGATGATACTTTACCAGAGAGGCATTGAAGACTGGAAAAAGGAAGAGAGGGCGACAGCTGTCTACGCCGAACATGTGCCACGTTTAGCGGAACATTTGACACCCATCCCCACAGAAAAAAATAGACCCGGCTAAAAAATCTCATATATACTCCCTCCGTCATAATCTTCCCATTGCGCGTTACGAGGCTTGACCGACTCTATTTTCAATTCAATTTAATTGATTATAGGAGTAAAATTTTAAAATAAAATTTATATAGTAATAAACTACATGAAAAGTTCTACAAAAATAGAGGTGACAAGACTATATTATTTTATGAAATGACTAGTAAAATTGAGTAAACAAAGTGAGTAAAGTTTGACTATATGAATAGTAACTGGGAAGATCTATGGTGGACAGAGGGAGTATTAAATAAGTATTTTTAAGAATTAGAATAAACATTTTTAAAATTGAAAAAAATATGTGAGAAAGTCCATGTAGATCGTCCATTGTATACCATTAAAATAGTTTTTGGCACCTATCGACTTCCTTATGGTTTTCTCTTATTTAGAATGATTTCTATTATTTTTAACTTCTACGGTAATCCCGCCTCGGCTTAACACAAACTCATCTTCAATTCGTTCAGTGTCATCCTCAAGATATTGCAGAACTTGATCTAAACTCAAGTTTAGGTTAACTTCTAGCAAAACTCTATTTGTATAGTTGGACTCTATGTTTGTACTCTACTTCATACATCAAATGTTTGCTCTGACACAAAACTAAGTGCAACAGTCATATCATGCCAGTGTTGTACTAATATTTCGTGTCATAACAAACCTTTAAGGTATAAACTTGTGTACATTCTGGTCGAGATAATGCTTTTTGTTAATACTCCATCCGTCCTATAATGATCTTCCCGGTTCGCAAAACGAAGAAAAATCCCAAATTTTTTCAATCTATTTTATTTAAATATTGGTATAGAAATAAAAAATAAAACATACATATTTAAAAACTACATCAAAAGTTCAACAAAACAAGTGGTGACAAGAATATTTTATTTTATCATATAGGCCATGAAAAAACACAAATAAATATAAATTCCCGTGAAGTTGGAATAGTGCTCTGGNCAAAACGAAGAAAAATCCCAAATTTTTTCAATCTATTTTATTTAAATATTGGTATAGAAATAAAAAATAAAACATACATATTTAAAAACTACATCAAAAGTTCAACAAAACAAGTGGTGACAAGAATATTTTATTTTATCATATAGGCCATGAAAAAACACAAATAAATATAAATTCCCGTGAAGTTGGAATAGTGCTCTGGGAAGATCATTATAGGACGGAGGGAGTAATACACTGAGAAATGAAATATATCATGGTCAAGCTCATGTTATAAATTTTAAGTATATACTAATATTTTCTTTTCTAACTACAGAGTACTTTTTTTTAATGATATTGTATTTTTCTTACATTGAGAAACGGAGTAATAATAACTTCTATTTTTTGAGAAAAGGAATCAAACTAGGAGTAAAATATGAAGAAGTTACCAAACAAGAAAACAAGAGTATAATGCTAGCAATGTAAATAAAGAGTATATGGTATCAAAAAATATAATGAAATGTCACTATAAAGTGTCATATCTCACTGTGCGAACTATTATTTTGAGAAAAAAACATCAAACTCTTGTTTTAAGGATAAATGTTTTGTTTTACTCTTATTCCAAACTGATTCTCGTAGTAAAAAATAAACTTTTTAGTTGACTTTTTTGTATGGTATATAAATTTTGACTTCTTATAAATTAACTACAATCTTACACTTTTAACATTTATTAATTTCTATGCTAAAAGTGGTTTAAAAATGAGTAGATTATCTAAATAATCCTTTAGCAAATGAGATCGAGATAGAAAAAATAAATGGAGGACTATACGTGGAATAATATGAAATTAATAAGGGCTGTCAACATAATATTTGATAAATATAAATTAAATATGAAAAACTTCCAGTTATAAAAAACTATTTAGAGAATATACTCTAATAAAAAGATGTTAAAATTGAAAAAACTATACACACTATAATTTTTTAAACAAAATATAAAATTTGTAAAAATATAATACTATTTTCAAATGTTTAATTTTTTCAACTCTTTCCAGTTTTTCTAACATTTTCCACTTTCTTCCAATTTTTAAACTGCTTCTAGTTTTCCCAACTCTTTCCAATTTTTTTTAACTCTCTTCAATTTCTTCCAACATCTTTCAGTATATAAAACTCTTTCTTGGACCATAACTACAAGCTTGAACTTTTATTTTCCTGACATGACATCAAAATCTTGTTGGCCAAGAAGACACGAGTGATCATTATGTTACCCAAGTAACCCAACTATAAAGTCTAGTTCTATGTTTGATTTTCGGAGGTGGAGGTCTATCTCTGGCATGTATTTGTGACGCTTTACATGTTGACCCAAGTTAAGTAAGCTTCATAGTTTGTTTTGAAATGACTCCACTTATGTTGCAAGTTCTTATGAATACTGTAGAAAGGTTAATTTCATTGATCAAATATGTGGGAGTACATGTCTATATATACATAAGAATTTCTAATCCTATACAAGGTAGGAGTCAATAATAGGAAACAATATATTCCTAATCCTATACAAGGTAGGAGACAATAATAGGAAACAATATATTTACATTAAATATAGAATATATTTAACATGCTCCCGGCTACGTCGGATGAGGAGGGGGTCTGATACCCAGACTGGACTTAAACTCGAGGAAGAGTAGAGAAGGTAGACCTTTGGTGAAGATGTCAGCATACTGTGAAGAGGAGGGCACGTGAAGGACTTGAATATGGCCGAGTGCTACTTTGT